CTGGTCTACAGAGTGAGATCTAGGACAGGCACCAAAGCTACACAGAGAAACCCTGTCTCGAAAAAACAAAATAAAAAAATGCATACTTACTCAAATATGTTAGGCTTCATTTAATCTGGTTCTCAAATATTCTTCATACAAAGATTCATACCTATGCCATTCCAGGTAGTGTACTAAGATCTCTCAAAGGTTACAACCATTGTTTTTGGAGAAAACGTGTTAATAGCTCAAGACAATATAAACAATATAAAGTTGCATTGAGTAATAAAGTTATATATATATATAAAATATCATATATATGGTATTTTAAAAAACTTGTTAATACACTTTAAAATCCTACTTTCAGTTACCAATACTGCTGTAGAAAGCATCAAAACATGGAGTGTTAATACCATTACAATGGTCCTCATATGGAGGCCAATATTTGTTTTGGTACTTGATTAAATGAATCAGAGAATACATGACTTATTATCATCATCATTTTTGTAACAATTTGTTTTTATGTGCATTGGTGTCTTCAGTGCATGTGTGTCTGTGTGAGGGTGTCAGATCTTGGAATTGCAGACAGTTGTGAGCTGTCATGTGGGTGCTGGGAATTGAACCCAAGTCCCTAGAAGAACAGTCAGTGCTCTTAACCACTGAGCCATCTCTCCAACCCGTTTGTTTATTTTCAACCCAAAGACTTTTCTCCCCTTGTAGTTTTCAAAGACTTCATTTCTTTATGGCTTCTGCTTATTTTCTCACTGGATTATAAGTTTCACTGGAACAGGAAAAGTTTCTACACAGAGGCACAGAATGTTGAGGAAGCATGCTAAAAAGAGCACAGCTCTTGCCTCAAGCAGCAGAGAGACTGAGCTCCTCACATTGTACAGCATGGTAGCTGTTGAGGAGACATCACTTCCACAGGCACACTCAACATGTTGGCTTAGGAGACCAGTAGAATTAATGAATGTTTCTAGAAGAAGCAACACAAAATTAAGTCAGGGAGAGTAAGAACTTCAGGTGGGGATTAACAATGGTTACATAAAAGAAAGCAGCTAGAGTCTGAGGAAACAAGATCAGCTAAGGAGTTGGCGAGCGAGCGAGGAGAGCTTGACCTGAGAACTCAAGAAAACGAGCGGTCCAGTCACCGAACCAGGTCACCAGAGATGTAAGTTTTAAAAATTGAAATCTAGACAATAAAGATGACAAAAACTGAGGAGAATGCTGGAAATAGAAAATCTAACTAAACGAACAAGAACTACAGAAGCAAGCATAACCAACAGAATGTAAGAGATGGAACAGAGAATCTCTGACGTTGAAGACACAATAGAGAAAATAGATTCGTCATTCAAAGACAACACTAAAGCCAAAAAAGTTGTAACACAAAACGTCCAGGAAACCTGAGACACCATGAAAAGACCAAACCTAAGAATAATAGGGATAGAAGAAGAAGAATATCAACCTAAAGGCACAGAGAATATATTCAACAAAATCATAGAAGAAAACTTTCCCAACCTAAAGAAAGAAATACCTATGAAGATACAAGAAGCTTACAGAACACCAAGTAGGCTGGATCCAAAAAAAAAAAAAGTCCCCTCACCACATAATAATCAAACCACTAAACATAACAGAATAAAGAAAAAATATTAAGAGACTAAAAAAAAAAAAAAAATGCCAAGTAACATATAAAGGCAGACCCGTCAGAATAACACCGGACTTCTCAATGGAGACTATGAAAGCTAGAAGGTCCTGGACAAACATCATGCAGACACTAAGAGACCAGACTATTATACTCAAGACTCTCAATCACCATAGTCAGAGTAAACAAAATATTCTGTGATAAAACCAGATTTAAACAATACGTAGCCACAAATCCAGCCCTACAGAATGCACTAGAAGGAAAAATCCAACCTAAGGAAATTCGACATACCCATGAAAACTCAGGCAATAGATAATTCCAGACCAACAAATACCAGAGAAGGGAAACACAACACTATCACCAAAAAAATAACAGGAATTAACAATCACTGGTCATTAATATCCATCAATATTAGCCGGGCGGTGGTGGCGCACGCCTTTAATCCAGGCACTCGGGAGGCGGAGGCAGAGGCAGGTGGATCCCTGTGAGTTTGAGACCAGCCTGGGCTACCAAGTGAGTTCCAGGAAAGGCGCAAAGCTACACAAGAGAAACCCTGTCTTGGAAAACAAAAAACAAAAAACAAACAAACAAACAAACAAACAAAAATATCCATCAATATCAATGGTCTCAACTCACCTATAAAAAGACACAGGCTAACAGAATAAATATGAAAACAGGATCCATCCTTCTGCTGCATACAAGAAACACACATCAACTTTAAAGACAGACACTACCTCAGAGTAAAAGGCTGGGAAAAGGCTTTACAATCAGATGGACTTAAGAAGCAAGCTGGTGTAGTTATCCTAATATCAATAAAATAGACTTCAAACTAAAATCAACCAAAAGAGATCGGGAAGGACTTTACAGCACAATGGGAGGACCCCAGTGGGCAGAAATTCACTACCGATGTTTTACAATCTTACATCTAAGCTGTTAACACCTATTATGCAGGATACACAGACAAGGAACTTCCCTTAAGCATTCAGGAGGGTGGAACTAGGCAGGGAATTAGCATAGGGAGGATATCAAGGTCAAGGTCAGCAAGCAAGGCAACAGTTACCCAAAACGGGGGCCAGGGGGCCAGGGCCCTACAGGTCCCCATTTTACTAAAAAATGAGCTTCTGACTTAGGTTGCGTGGGACGTCAGCAGGTCACCTTACCCGACATGGAGATGCCTGCCCAGGCCACACAGGCACTCTGTCTTAGGTTGGTAAGTGCCCCCCCCCCCCGCATTACCTGTCTCTGAATACTCATTATCATACAGGCTCAATCATGTGTGAGTTGCAGAGTTAACTGCTGCCTAAGATCTCAACGTGGCGCTGGGCTTACAATCTGTATGTTCGACACAGAAAAAACCAACAGAAGTCCTAACCCACCAATAGCAGGCACCCACATTTTTAAAAGAAACATTATTAAAGCTTAAATTGCACGTCAAACCCCACACACTAGTAGTGGGAGATTTCAACACACTACTCTCAACAATGGACAGATCTACTAGACTGAAACTTAACAGAGAAATAAAGGACTTAACAGATGTTATGACTCAAATGGACTTAATAGATATCTACAGAACATTCCACCCTAACACAAAAGAATATACCTTCTTCTCAGCACCCCATGGAACATTCTTGAAAATTGACCACATGCTCGGTCACAAAACAAATCTCAACAGACACAAAAACATTGGAATAACCTCCTGTATTTTATCTGACCACCATGCCTTAAAGTTAGACTTCAACAACAACAAAAACTATAGAAAGCCTACAATCTCATGAAAATTGAATAATGCCCAATTGAAGTATCAATGGGTCAAGAAAGAGGTAAAGAAATTAAATATTTCCTAGAATTCAGTGAAAATGAAAGTACAATATACCCAAACTTATGGGACACCATGAAAGCAGTGCTAAGAGGAAAATTCATAGCTCTAAATGCACACATAAAGAAGATGGAGCAATCCCATACCATTGAATTAACAGCACAACTGAAAGCTCTAGAACAAAAAGAAACAAA